TTCTACATTTTCCACATCTTTTATTCTATTTGGGGTGGTGTTACATTGTGGAGGTAAGGAGAGGACATACGATTCAATAATAAGCCCTCAATTGAAGATATCCACCCTAATGAGATGATTTCGACACGGTTTCGGCTATGATTCGGTATTTCGGAGGGATGGAGAAAGGCCAGTGTGGTACAAAACAAAACGTAATGAGTTTATGTGTGTAATACAGTAGCCGGTTTTGCAATTATCCACAGTACACAATTAATTGTAAATATTATCTACGTTGTGTACATGTGTATCCGTCATCCAAATATGTGGAAACATTATCTATTTTTTCCACATGATGGACATGGACACATTATTCCCTTTATCCAAAATACCGGAGATATTATAGAAATAAATTAAAAAAGTAATCAGTGTTATCCACATAACGTGGAAACTTTATCCACGTTATCCAAACATTATCCAAACTAGTTGAATCCTTTTCCACGTTATACACATCGAGAGAAAAGATTATTCACGTTATCGAAAAAACTTTGAAACTATATCCACATTATCGAAATGGCATGAAAACGGTATCCACGTTATCCAAATGACATGGAAATATTATCCAATAAACAATATCCACGCTATCCCAATGGCTAGAAAACATTATCCATGCTATCCACATAATGTGCAAATATTTTGGAAACATTATACCTCTTATCCAAATAACCTGAAACATTATCCACGTTATGCGATATTATCAAAGTTTGAAATAGCCTGAAAATATTATCAAAGTTTTTTAAATAGCGTGAAATTATTATCCACGTTATCCGAAGATAGGGAAACATTATCCACGTTATCCAAATGGCATGAAAACATTATCCACATAATGTGAAAGCATTATATACTAGACCTGTGTTATCGAAATAAAGTGGAAACTTCAACCAAGTTATCCATATAAACAGGGAATATCCGAATTATATCGTAACATTATATACCTTGCCCAAGCGATTTGAACCCTTATCAACGAAATTTGAAATGTTGGTATTGGGATCCATATCGATGGTAGGCTTGTGATAAAGGAGTGGTTTTGGAAATATGTGCTACAAGTACTCGAATTGTACTATATTTGGTAAAATCTGGTGTTGGTTAAACATAAATAAATAAATTAGGCATTAGGGCCGCTGTTTATATTTGGCCTGGACACAGAGAGTTGTTTTCGGAAATGTGTCCTATAATTGTACGAAAAGTACTCAGTGGTACTATATTTGGTATAGGGTGAAGGGATGGAGATAAAAATTTTAAGGAGATAAAATTTTTTGAGATATGACGGTTGTTTGGTAATGCGTCCTATTTTAGAACGAAAAGTACTATATGGTACTAAATTTGATATTGGGTGTAGTTATAGAACAGAAATCTTCAAATATGATATTAAAGCCTCTGTTGCTGGTATCTGGAATTGAAATATGGAGATTGTTTTGAAAATGTGTACGAAAATTTGGTATTGGGTGGAGTAGAGTTGAAATCCTTAAATTTGATATGCATCTCATTGTCGGGGTCTGTGGTAAAGTACTAAATGATACTATATTTGGTATGGTGGTGAAGCGATGGAGGTAAAATTCTGAAATCTGATATTTAGGTTACTGATGGTATCTTTTGTTTGAGATTTGGCGTTGGTTTGAAATGCGTCATATATTTGTACGAAAGGTACTAAAGTTGGTATTGGGTGATGTATTTGAGATCTCTGTTATCATCTGTAATTGAGATATGCATGTGATTTTGCAAATGCGTACTAAAATAGTTCGAAAAGTATTAAATGGTACTAATTTTGGATCACTGTTGGTGTGTATGATGAAAAAATATTGATTTTTTTGATATGCCTACTAAATATAAGTAAATTTGGTATTGGGTGAAGGAATAGTGCTGATATTGAGTTCACTGTTGGCTTCTGGGGTTTACATATAAAGACGTTAAAATAGTTTTGGCCAGAAAAATCGGATGTGAGTCCTTTGTGCAAATATGCTGCTCATTAAACTTCAAAATAACAAATTTTGAAGAGTTTTTGGTGTATTTATACCCTTCAACACTTTCTGTTGGGGGTATTATGAGTTTAATTGGGCCAAAAATTATGTAACACCACGAAATATTGATTTCCCACATAGGAAAGTACATATGGATCTTCCTATCTCGCCGAGCTGAATCGATCTAGCTATGTATGTCCGTCCGTCCGTCCGTCCGTCTGTCCATCTGTCCATGTTAATTTGTAATCACTCTACAGGTCGCAATTATGGCCCGATCTTCACGAAATTTAGAATGTAGGTGGGGTTAAGGTCAGAATAGAACCCTATTTCTTTTGGAGATGATCGCACAATATTAAGGGGTTGAAATGGACCATAAACTGAAAAATTTCCTGATTTTGCAGTTGCTCTACAGGTCACAATTATAGACCAATCGAAGCGAAAGTTAGCATGGGGCTAGAGCTTTGGGCTGGGCAGAAACCTTCCAATTTTGATGGTCACCGGGTAACATTTAGTGGTTGAAATAGATCATAGCATTTCTAATAAATAAAAGTCAATTTTTCAATTAAACCGCGAATATTTTTAATGCCGGCGAAATCACAAATAGACGAACAGGTCAATTCTGACCGTTACGTAGATGCCGATAGTAAAAATATTGGATATATATAGCGAAATATATACAATGTATATGTACAAAGAAAGGGGATGTTAGCTAGAATTCTTATATCTCCAGAATGTCTGGAGCGATTTTGACAAATTTAAAATGCCCTCTTGGCATAAAAGAATAAAATCTAAAAAAATCGCATAAAAAGGTGTCAATAATGATGTTAATATAGATTTTGTAGTATTTTGTGACATTATTTTATTTATTTTTTTTTTTTTTTTCATAATTTTTATCGCATGCGATTTTTTCATTTTGACTTATAATATTGAAGTACATTTTGTAATATTTTTTCACCTTACAACACAGGTTGGGGTTATTCTATACAGATTGCAATTATCGTCCGATCCTCACGAAATTTTTCACAAGGGTAGGGTTAGGCTCAGAAGGCCTAGGCCTATTGGTTTTAAAGATGTCCGCAATATATTTGGGGATTGAAATGGACCAGCAACTCAAAATGTTCCTGATTTTGCAGCCGTTATAAAGGTCACAAATAGAAACCAAAGGACACGAAATCTGGCATGAAGTTAGAGTTTAGGACAGCGGGTAGAATGGACTACTACTTTTGTGTGTAAAAATACCAATATTTTTAACAGGCTATATCCGAAATACACAAATGGTGAACTTCTGGCTTGTTTATGCTGATTTCGTTGATAAATAAAGCCAAATGTCGTAGACAAGCAAATTAAATAGATGAGTTTAAATTTGGTGATACCAAGGGGCCTCTTGCTTTTGGAGTTGATCGCAAAATATTTAGGGGTTCAAATGAAACAAAAACAGAAAAATTTTCTGCTCACATAATTGAAGAGAGTTAAGAACAGGGAAGAATTGTAGCATTTTGGATAACCATTGGTATATGTAGCTGTAAAATGGACCGCAACAACTAACAGCACGATGGAGTGCGTAAATATTGAACAAATATCCCTGGTCAAAACGCTAAGGGTAATATCTGGGCAGTGCCCCATGACATAATTCCAAAAGCGAAATATTCCAAAATGGATTCGGACATAAGGGGGCTTCTAACATATTGTAGTGTTGTAGGGTATCACATGGTCGGCCCCGGAATAATATATAAAACCGTGAAAGTCTGAACATTTAGCTGTAGATGTATGAAGTAGTAAAATTAGTATTTGATGTGCATTTTAAGTACAAAAAAGGCCTAAAGCGAACTGTTGGAACAAAATTCAAATCTTAAGATGCATTTTTCGCTGAAATATAGCGGGTATTTGTTAGTTCGGCATAAATTTCTACCATAGATAAAAATGCCACAATAATGGTTCCGACGGCCTCTTGAGTGAGCTTCCGGTTCTTATAGACCAATCTTTTTAATATTCCGTGCAGAATATTATCATTATATGTGGGTCTTATTTTTTTTTGATATGGCCCTTATATAAGGATATCAACTGATGTCGATTATTTCCAGAACTTGGCCATCAACTTGGATTTTACATGGTCTATAGTCCGATGGGACAAAGTCTTAAAGATTAAAACCAGTCTCCACAATATTAGTATCCTTAACTGTATTCCGATATCCTTGAGCTAATTTGCTACAACGTTTTTTGTTGCACTTTTGAGTATGAGTGTGTGCGTTGTGTAAGTGTATAAAAACCAAAAAAAAAAGCACGAAAAAAACACGAAAAAAACACTTGTTCAGTTTAGCAAGTGAATTAGCCGGCGATTCTTGCTGCTCCATGTTTGTATGACTTGAGTGTTTGGTTTTCCATGGCCCGTGGCACATCCGAAAAACCGTTGAGTATGCACATCGTAGTATAGTTTCTATTTACACTTGACTTATAAGTGTGTTAGGGCAACAGTCAGACAACATCACATTCATCACATATTCAAACTCATGGGAGCTAAGAAAGGAATCATTCAAGTGTTGGGAAATATCGATACAAATTGGAGAAAAGAAGCAAGGCATACAAATATTCAATATGCATGACCAGGCAGCCAGCAGATGAATGCTTAGACTTTTTTCTATGTTTATTCTATATATTTATATTTTCAGTCACATTTCAGCCCCTGGGGAAAACATATTTTTACTGATAATTTGTTTGATCTATCTATTCGAATACCTAGATGTTTCGAATGGCAGATGATGAAAAGAAAGTAACATACTTTAAGTCTTTCAAGCTGTTGGCAATCCCAAATATTTACTCAGTACAATAGTTGTAGCATATTTTTAGGCGCTGAGTGAGATTTTTAGAGGCAGCAACTATACCTACCTTGAGCTTCTTTGTTTTTTATTCTAAATTTATGTGCTTAGTTTTATTGTTATTTGTTTGCATTTTCAAATTTTTAAAATTCTCAAAAAAGAAACGAAAAGAAAGAGATTTTTTAAAACTTACCGCTCCCTGGGGTCTTCTGTGAGCCAGTTGTGCTACTGGCAGCCGATGTTGTTGATGTCCTTTCATGTTGTTTCAGCTGGACCTCGGCCAAATTTAAATGTTGTTGCTGCTGCTGCTGTTGTTTTTGGGTAGATGCATGCCCCGACCCAGCTCCAGCTGATGCTACTATTGTTTCGACATTCGCACCATTGAGATTTACACGTGAAGAATTATGATTTTTATGGACAATATTGGCAGCAATAGTTGCAATATTACCGTTGCCATTGCTGTTGTTGTTGCTGCCACTACCATTGGCATTTGTCAAACGCAAATAGGTAGTGGTGGTGGTACCTCCCGTACTGCCGCCACCAGTTGTTGCTTTATTACCATTACCTCCAGTATTGGTGCTGGCCGTTGCTGTCAAAATATGCCTCGGCTGTCCCTTGGCGGAGGCTAAAATATCACCCAATTTTGTGGTGGTAATGGTGGTGGATCCTGCTCCTACTCCTCCAGTGCCAATGGAGGATGAATTATGATGGGCCCCACTACTATTGTTGTTATTGGTAGCAGCATTATTCTGTCCATTGTTCGATTTGGTTTGAGATTTTTTGTGGCGTGTAAAGGTGATAGTGTTGGGTTTTGTGTTGACATTACCTGTCGTAGATAGAATTTGGGGTGACTGGTGATGTTGCTGCTGCATGGAGGACAAAGATGATGACGATAAGCTTAGCTTGTGTTCCACTGTCAATGATTTGCCCAAAGAAGCTGAAGATGAGACATTTGCTAAGGATGAGGTAGAATTGGCACCTGATGATATATTCGAAGAAGATGTAACGGCCGAGGCTGCGGACGACGACGAAGCCGATGTCGACGACAGCGCCGATGATGATGAATTACGTATGACCAGAATTGATTGTGATTTTTCTAAACGTTTTAATGTCTGCAAAACAAAAGGACCCTTGTCATCGCCATTTGTTGAAGCCGAAGCTGAGGATACGCTGCCAAAACGATTGCTGTCAGTGCTTAAGCTGCGTGAAGTCTGGAAGAGAAGAAAGAAAAATATTAAAAAATATAAAAATCCACGATTATGGCCTTGAAGTAAATCACCTAAAAAACCCAGGACAATGGCCTTTAATAAATTACTCTGTGAGACAAAATTCTATTTTTTCAATAAGCAAAAAAACGCTAAAAAGATGGGGCAAGGTACACCCAACAACACTTTTTGAAATTCCCAGGAATCCTAATCCGAAAATTATCAAAGTGTATTATTTTTTGATTTGCACAGAGACAGTCCTTTAAATAAATCCACGATTGTAGCTCGGATAGTCCTTTAAATAATTTCATTAAAAATTCCACAATTATGGCCTTGAGAGTGCTTGAAATTAATTATTTAACAAAACCACGATTATAGCTCAGATAGTCCTTGAAATAAATTATTTAAAAAATACACGATTACGACCTTGAGAGGCCTTTAAATAATTTCTTTAAATTTCTTTCTTTTGGCCTTGAGAGTCCTTGAAACAACTTATTAATAAAATCCACGATTATAGCTCAGATAGTCCTTTAAATAATTTCTTTAAAAATTTCATGATAATGGCCTTTAGAATCCTTGAAATGAATTATTTAATTTTTTAAGAAAACTACGGTTACGTATATTATATATATTTTTTTAAAAATTCCACTATTATGGCCTGAGAGCCATTTAAATTATTTCTGCAAAAAATTCCACGATTATGATCTTTAAAGTCCTTGAAATAAATCAATTGAAAATTCCAAGATTATGGCCTTGAGAGCCCTTGAAATAATTTCTTTAAAAATTATTCGGTTATAGTCTTGAGAGTCCTTGATCCTTGAAAGATTTATAAAAAAATCCACGATTATAACTCAAATAGGCCTTTAAATAATTTCTTTAAAAATCTACGAATATAGCCTTGAGAGTCCTTCAAAAAATAATTAAAAAATCCACGATTATAACTCAGATAGGCCTTTAAATAATTTCTTTAAAAAATCTACGAATATAGCCTTGAGAGTCCTTCAAAAAATAATTTAAAAAATCCACGATTATGGCTCTGACAGTCATTTAAATAATTTCTTTAAAAATTCCAGGATTAAGGCCTTGAGAGTCCTTGAAATATTTTTTCCAATATTCCATGATAATTTATTTAGGAAATCTACGATTGTGGCTCTGAAGTTCCTTTAAATAATTTATTTAAAAAAAATCCACGATCATGGCTATAATAGTCCTTTAAATAATTTATTTAAAAAAAATCCACGATCATGGCTATAATAGTCCTTTAAATAATTTATTAAAAAAAAATCCACGATCATGACTATAATAGTCCTTTAAATAGTTTCTTCAAAAAATCCACTATTCTGGCCCCGATGGTCCCTTAAATAATTTCATCAAAATTTCACGATTATGGCACTGATTTTTTAAATCAACGCTTATCTCTCTGGAAGTCTTTAAAACGGTTTATTAAAAAATCCTCTGACAGTCCGTGGAAACAATTCTCATACTCACATTCTTAAAAAGAAATGGCCTATCTGTGGCCGACACCGTGGAATTGGATTTCTTCAGTTGGCCAGACTGCAGCAACACCGTTTCCAATTGACTAGCATTGATGGGTGTCTGCAGTAGGATTGTGTTAGTCTCCTTGGGTACAATTTGAGCTGTGTTAGCATTTCCTCCATTACTACCGCCTCCACCCGCCTGGGGAGCCAACACCGTTCCACCAACAATCCCTCCATTGGCATTGGTTAATAAAGAAATGCTGGTCTTTCGAGCAACAGTTGTGGTTGCCGGCAATTGGGTTAGTGTTGCCACGGTGGCTTTTTCATTTTGCTGTTGTTGTTGCTGCTGCTGTTGCTGATGGTGTTCCGTGAGAAATGTAAAAATGTCCTGTTTATTCTGTATGACAATTTCGCCATGTTCGTTGCGTGATCCACGCACAACAATAATGTTGTTGGTTAAATGTTGTTGCTGTTGCTGCTGCTGCTGTGGTTGGGTCGTAGCTGCTGCCGATTGCAATTGTGAAGTGTGGGCAACAACTAAACCGCTCGGTTGTTGGTGGTGTTGTGGCTGCAATTGGAATTGTAATGTGGTTGGTTGATTGGTGACACTTTGATTGGTTAATTGTTGATGTGATTGTTGCTGTTGGGGTTGATGCTGCTGCTGTTGTTGTTGCTGCATTAATAATATTTTTTAAAAATTATGGTTGTTGTATGGACATTGGTGTGAGGACAGTCTCGTTGGAATTTGACTTTTATTGGAATGGTGAGAGTGTCAGGTTGTTTTTCAATTGATCACAAATCCTTGTATTGGATCTGCAATGAGTAAATGATAAAAAAAGAGAAACAATTATAAAAATACAAATAGATCTTAGGAAAGTAAGTAGTCCGTCAAACAACGGGGCCAAAAAGACCAAACATTGTACAGACTTGGAGACATATAAGGCTGCCCAAGCCCAACGAAATCCAATGTCCGAACTAATCGGCCAATATTATCCATTTCGTATCGGATCCAAATAAATATGATATAAATATTGCGACGTGTCGGGGTTGGACCCTATTGGCAACTTCCTTCACTTTATATGATATATGTGATAGTTTTTAGAAAAAGTTAAAATGTGCGTGAGGTACCAAATATAGTTGACCGAAGTATTTTATTTTTATGCATCATCTTATACAGATAAAAATATTGATATGGGCAAAATTACAAGAAAATCGAACATGTATATCCAATTTTATGTGAAATTATAAATTCCATATTCATAATATCTGGTTGAGAACAATATTTAGATATAGAAAGTTGTAAAAGATCGCTGACTTGTTTCGCAAAAAACTTGTGACCCTCTGTGAGAGAGGTACAAAAAAATTGCTAGTATGTGTGAAATTTGAAGAGAGTTAGATTTTTATTTCGCTTCCTTTGAGCGTTTTGTTTTTCAAAATTTTGACCCTCTGTGGGGAAGATGCCAGAAGTAATGGTCCGATCTCTACCATCTTTATAAAAAATCTTAATAGAAATATTGAGACGTGCCAAGTCCGAATGGAATCGGATGTTAATTTCGCTTCATGGATATTCAAAATTTGCGGAGGTACCAGAAGGAGAGGACGGACATATTTCATCTTTACGCCACAAATTGGGTCAATAAAAAATATTGTGATGTGTGCAATTCGAAGACAAATGGACTCTTATCTTATATTTTATAAGAGAAAAAATAATCAAAATGTTGACCATTTATAGGGGAGGTAGTTGATGGAGTGGACCGATATTGTCCATTTTCTCACCTGACCTAGCACTGATGAAAATATTTGGATTCGCAAAGTTAGAGAAAAATTGAATCATCCTTTCTCTTTCTGTGCAGTAAAATATTTTCATTGAAAATTTCGACCGTTTGTGGGAGATGCAACTGTAGGAGTTGACCGATATTGCCCATCTCCGAACTCGAAATAAGTTTGATAATAATAATACGATGTACCAAGTTTGGGCCATTTTCGCTCCCGACATAGCACTGATGCAAATATTACGATTTGCAAAGTTAGAGCAAAATCGAAATGTCATTTCTGGGAGGCACCAGAAGAAGTTGACCGATATTGTCCATATCCGAACTCGTTCTAAGTTTGATAATAGTATTACGATGTACTAAGCATGGGCCAAATCAGATACTCCCTTCGAGAGCTATCGTGCGCACCAGCCAGACAAACAGACCGACGGACCACGCTAGATCGACTCCAGATGTTCTGAAACGGATTTGGTCCAAAGAGTCCAAGGGTCTATAACAGTTATTTCGATGAGGCACGTTTTGGTCCTATCAAATGATATATACCCTCTGAGGCTGAGGGTATAAAAAATCGAATCAACAGCGTCTCCCATTAAATCAACTTCATCATCCATGCCGACTACATCGACCCGAATATCATCCAACCTGCTATGATCGGCCCGACAACACCTACCCGAAAGACATAAAACCGGTTTTCATCAAATCGTCTATCACCAAGCCATCTACATCTACCGGAAAATTTATCGAGACGACTACATTAACCTAAAAATACATGAACCCGATTATATTTACCTGAATATTCGTCCTGTCGTCAAGCGCTTTATCTTATCGTTTATCTTCACACCGAATAAATCTCCCCGTCTTTAATTACCCGAATATCAACGAGCCGGCTATCAATAAATTGTATTTTTTAAGCCGAACCCATGAACCCGAATGCACCAAACCGACTAAATTTACTCGAGCCGATTTTTATCAATCGTTGGTCATCAAGTCGACTTCATCAACATATAGTGTCAACATTTCATAACACAAGTCAAGGTCTAAGACTAAGGGTATTCATCTGTCTGTAAATTCGATTGATTAATTCTAACTGTTTTGTTTTATCTACAGTTGTATGTGTATTAATCTTAAGTTTGCTGAATCCTTGACATTGACTGAGCTCAATCCAGCCTTAGATAACACCATTCATTACAGCCTTTTCAACTATTTGGTTTTGGAGTCAAAAACAATTTTTTCCATTGAAATAATTTCCCTTTTTTGCAAAAATGTAATGCCATCTGTTAGCCTATAGTCACATTTGATTTATGGCAGTTAATAATATTTTGATTCCCATACCAGAGTAGGTCAAATTTCCTGTTTCACGAAAAAAACTCACAACTTCCTCAATCTTCCATTACCAATTTCCCATCAATTGAAATATGCACGATACGACTTGTTACTTCATCCTGCGAACTTCAACTTGTCACAACAACAGCAACAATATATTGAATTGTTGCTATCAGTTGAACAGCCCACTTTGTCAAGTTAACTGTCACAAGTGTCCAACTCCTCCCACAATAACTTGAAAATGAGTTCGTTCGTCGTCGTTGAAAGCTTTCAATTGATAATGTCCTTTAGACAAAATATCCTGACGTTTCGAACAGACGGTATGCAAACTATTTTATTGTCATCAAGTTAACATTACGAAAAGGAAGGAGAAGAAAAAAACACAAAGCAAATATGTCACGACAAGTTTTTTTTTTTTTTTTTTTTTTTTTTTTTTTTTTTGTAACGCCCAAAACGGCGTTTGTGCGTGGCGAAGGGAATCACTTTTTTTTCAAGAGCCAAATAGCCCTTTATTTGTTTGATTTTTTATTGTCCTTTTGTTGGTCAATAGTCAATGTGCCATTGTGTGTGTGTGTGTGGGATTCATGTGTGTCTTTACAAAACAAGGGATTGATATCAACAAATAAATATCACCACTTCCCCCATTCTTCAATCACCTAGATATCTGTCTCATAAAACTTTTAACCTCAACTCTGCTATGGCCAACAAAGAGTTCTTAGATAAACCATCTAAAGGGTAAACTAACCGGAAATTTATTACTTCATATTGTCAATGCAAGAGAATACGTACAAACATAGATGGACGTATGTACGTCCATTCGTACGGACAGCTTTTTTTGCATCGCTTCTGTGGTCGTTCGTAGATAGATTTTACGCGTCACTTCTTTGTGGTTGCGTGGAGTGTGTTTTTCTTGTATTCATTTATGGTCCCCACTTCACAAAGTGGGCTGGGATGGGATGGAGCCTTCCGAAATGACACTGACATCTATTGTGTAAACACATTTTCTAACAAAATAAACTTTGTTATAGTTTTTTGTTTGTCGTGTGTTTGTTTCTTTCTTTCTTTGGGGTCACTCGGAAGGGATAAAAGTAATAACAAAATAGTCAACATATCAATGAGATTTTAGCAAAAACAACAGCAATAACCATAGAGGCTACTTTAAAATTGAAAGGAGGAAATACAGTGGTGAGCAAGGCGAAAGCCTTCTTATATTATACATTTTTGAGCATACTTTTAGGCGCGTGAGATAGGACATCATTCATTTACTGAAAGAGTAGCATTACTCAAAAACTGCAGAGTTAACAGCTTTTGCTACCTTCAACCATATGGCTAGAGAGGGTATGTATCATTTGATACGGCCAAAACGTGCCTCATCGAGATATAGGTTTTAGAACCTAAGTCTCTTTGGACCAAATTTATTTCAGGACATTTGTAGTCGATTTAGCAATGTCCGTCCGTCTGTCTGTCTGGCTGGTGCGCACGATAACTCTGGAATGGAGAACCCGATTTGAATCAAACATGGTACATCGTAATATTATTGTCAAACTTATATCTAGTTCGGAGATGGGCAATATCGGTCCCCTCTTTCTGGTACCTACCCCTCAAAATGTCAACATTTTCAAAGAAAATAATTTAATGCACAGAAAGAGAAAGGATATTTCGATTTTGCTCAAACTTTGCAAATCCAAATATTTTTATCAGTGCCAGGTCAAGAGCAAAATTTGGACAATATCGGTCCATTTCATCAAGTACCTCCATCACAAAGTGTCAACATTTTGAATAATTATAACTCTAATAAAATGTGATGTAAGAGTCCGATTGTCTTCAAATTACACACATCACAATATTTTAATTAACCCAAGGTCTGGTGTGAATATGGAATATATCGGTCCACGCCTTCTGGAACCTCCCCCACTAATAGTCTAAATTTTGAATATACATGAAGCTCATGAACCGCTAAATTGACATCCGATTCCATTCTGACTTGTAATATCTCAATATTTCCGGACCATTCCTTTTGGTACCTCCCCCACAAAGGTCAAAGTTTTGAATAACCAAAACGATCATAAAATCCGAAAGTAGCATTCGGTTCTCTTCATATTTCATACATTCCATTATTTCAACAAACACAAGATCTGCTGTGAAGGTGGAATATATCAGTCCACTCCTTCCGATACCTCCCCCACAAATGGTCAAAATTTTTAATATTCATGAAGCTCATAAAACTCGAAATTAACCTCCGATTCCATTCAGACTTGGTACATCTAAATATTTCCATCAACACAGAGAGATCGGACTATTCCTTCTGCTACCTCCCCCACAAAGGGTCGAAGTTTTGAATAACCAAAGGGTCATAAAACCCGAAATATGCATACTTTTTTCCTCAAATTACACACATCACAATATTTTATTAACCCAAGGTCTGGTGTGAAAATGGCATATATAAGTCTACTCCTTCTGGTACATCCCCCACAAATGGTTAAAATTTTGATTCCTTTCCAGACTTGGTACATCTCAATATTTCCATCAACACAAAAACTGTTATAAAGATGGTATAGATGGGACCATTTCTTTTGCTACTTGCCCCACGTAGGGTTCAAGATTTTGAAAAACAAAACGCTCAAATAAGACGAAATAAGCATCCAACTCTCTTCAAATTCAACACACACAAACATTTTTGCTAACGCATTGAAAAGATGATATAAATCAACCAAACCC